CACCAGCCCACTGGGCAAATGTGGGTGGATCTTCCTTCTCCACCACCAGAACTACTACTATTGCTGGTACCTCTTCTAAGGTGTTTACAGTTCAGACGAAAGGGTAGATGAAAAACAGCTGTATTATCAGCTTTTTCATGGACTTGAACAGGATGGATTAGAATTGCATTCAGAGATCTAGTCACCCAAAAGATATTATGCCTCACCTAGTCATCTAGTAAATGGAATAGGATCTGGCCTTAAATGCAAGATTTTGTATTTTGTACTACCGTTTGTCCAGTTTTTATTACTCCAGCCATTCCCATATGATATCCTAATTTTCCCCGGTATTAATGATGCTTTCTAACTCGGTCATCAACATATTTCATCAGCACACTCTTATTTTTTGTGTCAACATTATGAGTGGAAATATTAAATAAGGAGTCCCAAGACTGATCCTCAAAGACCTCCACTAGCAACCCATCTCCAGCACAATAATTCCCATTTCAACACTGGGTGCATCTACATGAGACAAAACCCGTGCTAATAAGCTACTGCGTAATGTTATTAGGCTACTGTACAGTAAACGTCACTAAAACTGTGTGCCGGTGCTACTCCACAGTGGCGCAAGTTACTGCACATTGATTTAGTGCCTGGTTCTCCAAGTATTAAATGTAATGCACAGTAACTCCGGTGCACAAATGAACATGTAGACACACTCATTGTTTCTTTTATCTGCCTTGTAACAAATCCCTTTATCCACCTCACAAGTCTTGTGTTAATCTCCTCCTTCTCTAGTTTGCCCAAGTCTTCCATGGAGTAACATATGAAATGCTTTGCTCAAGTGCAGGTAGAATCTACAATGTGCTCCCTGTCCAGAAAATCAGTAATTTGCTCAAAGGTATCATCTTGACCTGGCATAATTTACTTTTGGTGCACCCATGCTGCATTGTATCCTGTCCTCCCTTACCCTGTGTCCATAAACTGTGTCTAGCAGGAGTAACAAGAACAAGCTATGTTTATTTAGTCTTTCAGATATAATACACATCAGACACTTGCCTATCCATTTCTGGTCAAATGAACTGATAACTGTAATAGGATTGCCACAAATTAAGCCTTGCAGCCTCTTAAAGAGTGCCACTCCGACCCCATCCCTGCCCAGTCCGCTGCTCTTTCTGTTCCCTGCCCCCTACCTCCCCAGTCTGCCGTGTGCCACACACAGAGGCTGCCCATGCCACGTGTGGCACCTGTGCTGCAGGCTGGCCACTCCCAGTGTAGAGGAAGTAACACCCCCCACCTCACCACCACCTGCTTCCCAATCTAACCCCGCATAGGAGAGGCTGCGCACGCCAGCACTCTCGCAAAGTAACCACACAGTTGCTGACAAAGGAGATGGAACCAATTGAAAAGTACATAAATATTTGTAAGTATAAAATATAAAAATAGCGTTTTATCATTGGGATGGGATAATGGCGGCACTATTGAAACGCTGAATCCCTTGCTGATCTAATAATGCTGACAATTTATCGGGCAGTTACTAACTTGACTCTCAAGCAGGTCTTTGGAGAAGCAGACAAAGAAAGTCAAGGAACAGGACAGAGAGGGAGCATTCTGGTTCTTCTCGGACTATAAATACTTTATGAAAATCATTTACAAGCCATGGTAAAACGACATGCCTTTACAGGTGAGTTACTCCCCCCATTTTGTTAATCTAAGAGAAAGCTCTTGACATCACAGTTCTGATCAGCTGGAAGACGGCAGACTCTGTCATGAATCTAAAAGTGCCAATAAACCATATTTATTGTTAAAAAATACCATGCTAATACAAACAAGTCCTACTTGATTCTTAATAGAATACGGTAAGATTTTAAGAAAAAAATGCCTGTTAATATAAATGCCACAGGAAAAAAAATTGAAGTGATTTTGGCAACAGCCTCTGATCAGATTTACTAGCTCTTGGCTGAAAGCAATATTACATGAAAAGCACTTGTGTAAATTGTGCAAAGACTATAGTAACCTCAAGCTAAAATTGGACAAACTAAAGCTCTGTAGCTAGGAAATTAGCCTTACGATGAAGACAGTAATGTCAGAAAGGGAAAGAAAATGTTTCAGTTTATACTCAGCCTTATTTTTGTTTCTAATTCTATTGGCTTTTTCTGAATATCCATTTTAAAGTCTTTAAAAAAATTAAAGGCTACTTTAAATTTCTGACTTCCGGGTAGAAGAAAACTACACAATACTATTTTTTTCTTTTTAAAAACCAGGGCCAGAAGCATCAAAATGGCTCATTCTCCACAAACAAACACACATACAAATAGAGGAACATCAAATTACAGATCTGTAACATCAAAACTAGCAAGAATGGCCTGGTTGGCTTTTCTGTCCGAGTCCCTGATTTGAACACAGGCTCTGGCATTTAAAGGAAAACACAAATTGACAGTGCTTTTAAAGATATATTCTTCAAACACGTTATACTGCCATTTTGCCTAATTCCAGAAGGTGAAACTTTGCCACAGTTCCTCTAACAAGTAAAATACTGGGATTAAAAAGTAGAGTTGCAACGCTTTAAAAAAACCTCCTAGTCAGAATCAGGGCAGTTATTTTCACTTGACTTGGGTTACTGTTTACTTGGAAAACATTAAAACTGGACAAGAGGTCATGAAATCACATGAACTTCCATTTCTTCTACAGCATCCAAATGTGTGACAGTCAGAACTTACAAGTTCATAATATTTATTTCAATACATTCTTATAAAGTTTCCAATCCCCTTCAAGAACATAAGTCATGCTAATTTCAACATACTGATGATATAATAAATTACAGGAAAGAGCATTAGATAATACTCCATATCGTATCAATTCAAAAGTACATGGAATCAATAAATGAGAGATGCAACATACCCATAATGATACAGAAAACTTAAATTTAAAATAAACACTTGTCCTTTCTGATATTGTTTTGGAAGACCAGAATCCTATTTTTTCCAGCTATCTGTTGTAGCAAAAGTTGATGCCCACTGTGGCAACTTTCATTATTTGACATATCTTTTTCATTAAAAAGATCTCAATTTAAGATCTAAAAGTAACTACTGAGTAATTAAAAAAATACCACTAGACTAAAGAACACGCAAACAAGTGGCATGTAATTTTTTTCAGTTCATGTGGAAATAACAATTTATGTTAGTCTCAGGATTCCTAATATGAGCAAACAACATTTCCACATATCATCTCCATGTTTAGGGTTAGATTCTCTCCAATCCTGTGGCCCTTTTGCATTAACATAATAAAAACTCCTCTAGAAACCAAGCATACAGCCAGCCTCAGGAGTAGAGAATCACAAATAACTTGTCTGCAGCCCTTCTATTCCACCTGCTCTGTTCTCCCAAACACGTGAAAAGCTCTGCCCAGTGCATGTAGAGTACAGCTGAGAACCTACGTCTAAGTATTAAACAAATGCTATTATAGGATAGATGAATAAGTACTGATCTTTAGTGATTCTGTAGTCTATTTTTACCATCTGCTGCTATAAATGATCTTAACATTATGCATAAAGAGTATTAAAGGACAATTTCTTCTTTACATGGGGTACATATGTATGTATGAGAGACAGCAAGTGCAACGCATCATTATTTCCTTTCTAAACTCTTTTGTCTTCTCTATTCTAGAAGTCGTACCTTCCAAATTTGCTCTCTATGCCAGAAACAAAGGTATCTGTCTAATTTTCTCAGTACCTGCACCCATTAATGGACTTACCTGTTATCTTTAGACAGTACTTCTACCTTCCATCACTTTCAACAGGGGAGGCAGAAAAGTCCCTCACATTTTATGTTATACTAGTACTGCTCAAGTTATCATGAGTGAAAGAAGGCCAGTGTAATAGCTCCCTGTAAGGCAAACCCTCTTGACTAAGTGGCTGTTTTTGTGCTACTGAACTCATGGCACTTCCTCCATTCACTTTAGTGGGAGCAAGACTGGTCTTCATAAAACACATCAGACAGTAACGATCAAACTCAAAATCTTCCCCCTGCTCCATGCCAAGTATATGGGAAGAGTAACTTTAGTAGGGGTGAAATAAAATACAAGAGAGCTGAAAGATGGTAAGTCAACACCAGAAACTTTGTGTAAGCCATGATCCAATCCTTCATGTTTTTCACGACAGTGAAAAGATCACTTTAATGTTTCCAGCAACTTTACAGTGTAAGTTCCTTCCAGTTTCATACAGACTGCATATCTCCCCTCTTGCCTTTTCAAGCAGAGAAAAAACAGTTACCACCTTTGATTCAAAAGCTAAAGCTAAGCTGCAAATGGTATTATCTTTCTCTTTCTCACAATAAATTCTATATTTGGAAAGATAATACCACAACGATTTTATATTTTCCTTTCTTTTTTTTTTAAGTGACTTAAATTATATCACAGTTAGGTGGTTCTCTATAAAGCTTATATTAGTCACTGGAAATAATACATAGATCCCAAGATATTCAACATTACTAACGTGTTACTGTATACAACAAACAAGTGACAGAAAACCCAGAGAGGGCAGCATATCCCCAAAACCTCTGTCAATTAACAAGTCATATATGCATCATTAAAAGGCCTTAGAGTTTAAAAGCTAAAATTCCCAAAGGGATTTGAATCCCCAATTCCCAGTAAGATCTGTTAAGTCAGTGTCCTAAACCCCTAGTTACCTTTGATAATGCCATCCAAAGTTTCTAGCACATTTCAAGGAGTCTCAAAATACAAGCAGATGTAAAAAATACCTAGCAGTAGTCTCTATGTTTTCTCTTTTGCTAAGCCGATGTTGTAAGTGGGATTGTTAATAAGCACAGTGAAATAAATTAGGTGTCAAAGCATCCCCTTGCATTTTGTTAGCTGGGGTTACAGCAGGTGCTAGTATCTAAAATGGATCTGGCCCATGAAGGAAGCCCCTCCATTCTTTGAATTAGTAGGTGAATAATCTCCAAGCACCCCCCACCACCAGCAGATTAGTTTAGGGTGATAATGAAGGGGCAAGGGTACTGTACCTGGTGATGGGCAGGTCGAGGCCCCGCTGCAAACTGAGGAAAGGCGGGAGAAACAAACACAAAAGGAAAGGCACAAAGAGTCAGAAACACCACAACAACAACCAAAATGTCACACTCTATGCAAAATAAACCCACAAGAAAGACCACACACAGTCAAAGCTTTGCTGCAGGACAGTGACAGACAGGTACTAAGATATAACAGGTTAACACCACTGTAGGATAGTGTGCTGCCCAAGAGCTGGGAGAAAGACAGCCAAAGCTGCTAGTCATCTTCAAGGCACACTCCTGAATAAGTACAAACATTTACAATACACTCCAGAGAAAAAGCTTAAATACTAAGTGCGGAATATTTAAAAATTATGGCAATGAGAGATGCTTAAAAGTGGTTCGACTCCAACTCATTCTGAAGTACTGGAGAGTGTGGAGAAGGGACAATTCTGCTTATGCAGCAGATAACAGTCAGGTAGGCACTTCTAATGTCTTGCAGACTATAGAGAATACATGAGTGTATCTGCAAGACAAACAAGACTAATTAACATTAATGTGCCCATACACAGTGCATTTCATCTTTGAAGCATTTTACAGACATTAACAAAATAACCCTCTCTACCTGATTCTATGGTAGGTCCATAATTGTTTCCCCATCCTATAGCTGGGTATGTGGAAAAAGGGAAGTTAATCCCTGATTTGTCCAAGGGTGCAGGGTATATCGACGGCTCGTTTCCAGGACCATGCTCACTTTACTAGACCACTTCCCACCCTTTCACATTACACTAGGGAAATTAATTCAGAATTAACATGCTCGATAAACATTTAAAGCATTTCTGGTAATTAGCTGATTGTTAAAATATAAATAAAAATGAATGCAAGAAATGGAAAATACAAATAAAAATGAAAAGGTATCTTAGCAGAAATCAAGTTAGCTATTTAATCCCTTAATTCTCAGGATGTTCAGCAGAACTATAATGTTCCTTCTAATGACAACAGATAATCTATTGATAACTGCTCAAGTACTTAGAGCGTGTGTCTACACGTCGCCGTATGGCGACAGTGTTACTGCACCGTGTTTCAGTACTTCCTTTTGGAAGTACTAAAACAGGGCACAATAACCGTCTGTACTGCGCCATATGGGTGGCGCACGCAAAGATCTCCCCGCTACGTCGTCGTAGCAGCATGCTGTAAGTGGGGAGCGCACAGCTACAGCGACATAGCTAGTGATCACATGCAGACTCACATGATCGCTGTCACCATAGCACCCACAGTCGTAGCGCCATAGGGCAACGTGTAGATGTGCCCAGAGTTTATGAAACGAGATCCAACAGTGAGTTTTTAATCACAGCAACAAAATCACTAGGCACTTCTGTATGGTTCTAGTTTTCCCTGCCAATAATGTAAGGCCTAAAGGAAAGCAAGCCATGCAGTACAACTCTGCTAATGGATAGTGTACTTGCAGAGACTGATTTATAACACTTTCTTCTCCTGTGCCACCATAGGTTTTAAAACAGGATTTAATAAAGACCATTAAGGGGAGAGAACGGCACCTGTTGGTGAAGTCTGTAAATATCATAAAACGCATCCATGCCAGGTAAACTGTTTCATAGGTAACAAAGGCTTCCAGCTATTAAGTTTTTCTTCCCATAAGTAGGAAAAAGAAAGGGGTGGGGAGCAAAATGGGGAGGAGTTTAGTTTACAGCCCCATGTCATTGCTACTTAATGTTCCTAACACTATCATATACAAGAGAAAGAAAACATAACCAAAACCAAAAGTATTCTCTAATCAAGTTTTTTTTAAGACTATTTAAAATTGCCTATATTTAAAATGTCCATGTAGAAATCTATACCATGATTTAATCTACAGCCTGCACTTGCTCCCCCTAATATCTTCTCAGCATTACAGATGAATAAGAAATAGGCTATGTATACCTAGTCTATTTCTAGCATAAGACTATATATCAATTCATAAACTATAAACAGTTCTTCCTCTCTAAACAATCTTCTCTGCAACATTTCCACTAAGCCTCAGTTTCTTGAAGTGAGCAATTTCAACTCATCGGAACAAAAAACTAAAATTTCAGTTATATCACCAACAGTTTACAGAGGCACCAGTACACAACAGCTTCTACCCATCTCCCAAACCTTTATTTGTAGAGAGGACAGTGGCTTAACTGATCCTTCTAGCCCAGTGGGAAGTGGTGACTATGATGAATTTAAGAAGGGAATACATTAATTTCAATGCAAGTAAGTTTGTGCACAGGAAGAACTCCTCAAAAGCGGTCTGGGTTTTATTTCCTCCGTCTCACGTGTGACAAAAAAGGGTTAGTCTTCCCCTGACATACAGAGGGCACCAACATAAACCTTTCCTGATGGGCTACAAGTTCTATGTTTATCCACCAAAGAAAGAGGAAGTAGTAATTTGTTTAAAAAACACTACAAAAGGTAACTGTGGGATGCAGAACTCTAGGTTGATCAACATGAGATCTGAAGTACCTGTCTTTTCACTGTGCCACAGGCGAGTTTTATTTTATCAGCTCTAAAATAAGAGTTGGAAATTTACATCTTATGAACACTGAAGCCAAATATATATTCCAGGAGTAAAATGTAATACATGTTACGAGGAAAAATAAATAAAATGAAACCTCAAAGTTAGTGAAAAAAATCCCCTAGTCTGTTTTGCACTGGTCACCATTGGCTATAAAATTTTAGAATCCTGGTTGATCAAATTCCTTTTGGTAGCTGTAAGCAACAGAACAAACTGTAGTCACTGCTGGCTCAGATTAAAAATAGACATTTTGTTTTTTCTTTCAGATGAACATAGTAGATATAAAGGAAAACAGCCTTCTGTGAAAACTGGATCCCCACATGCTTATTGGTCTTGCTCACAAAACCTCTTGTGCACAGCTGGCAACTGGGCATGTTCTATATGTCGACAGTGATCTGGTACATTGCACCAAGTCATCTGAAAATAACCACTTCTTATGGTTTAGTACAGCACCTACTGGATACCCTTCTCAGACTGTGTCTTTCAGCACATCCTCCAGGTTGGACAAAAATGGCTTTTAACTAGATTAGTGATGAGGGCTGGGACTGACAATACGAAATGGGAGTAAACTGTTAATTATACTTGGGCTGACAGTCTTAAAAAAAAAATCTTTCCCCAAACTGGAACTGAACTTTGATGTTCTAGGTATCAAACAGAAATGACACTACAAAATCTAGTGGGAAATTATATGAAGCCAGCTGGATTGCAAAGGCAGCTGTCCAGGAAAGAACAGAAAAGCCTATATTATGCAATTGCCAATGGCCCTTTAATGCATAAATAGAATGGAGTAAGCCTTGGCTGCTCCAAGAAGCCCTGTTAGGATCACTTTATTAGTGAAACAGTCTATGTGTCCTCACCAGCTGAGTGATCGACTACACTACACTATGGAAGCCCAGGGTGGCAAAGGAGTTACCTTGCCACCTTCCTCATCCCCTCGTTACCCTCCCCTCGAGTACAAAAAAAAAAAAAAAGTAAAAAATAAGAGTAAATAAAACCCCAGAACAAAATGCAAGAGTAGGAGAGGACCAACTAGTCTTGCATTTGTTTTGGGGGTGGGGGGGTGGGAAAGGTGTAATGAAATGTTATATGTGCGATTTTTAGTAATGGGGTGATAATGGTCACTAGCAGAGCAGATGGAAAAAACTGCATATATCATAGTTGAAAAAATAGTTTATGACCACAGAAAGATGGCTGACAACTGCAGGCAAATTCCAGCTCAATATTTCCTCTAATAATGGGATAAAACATCTATAAAATTTTATAAATTTTCAGATAATTTTTCTGAGTGTCATTCTTGAAGCGTAAACCCAAATTCTTCCTATCTATGTTGTGAAAAATCAGACCCTCCCAAATCTTTCTTTCATCATTTTAACCTGGCAGAAACTGCCACGGTATCTCATGCTTTTAACAAAGAAGCAAATCAGTGCATTTCTGTAGATCAGCCAACAAAAAGATGTGGTTAAAAAATAAAAAATAATAAAAAAAAAAAAGAAAAAAAAAAAGAAAGGAAAAAAAAGGCAAAAAACTCCCAAAACAAACCCAAAACCAAAAGGAACCAAACAAATGAAAAAACAGTGCCATAGGCACAATTGCCTGCAAGAAGGAGTACAGTTTGTTATATTGCTTACAATGCAGTATTTTATCCAGCCTCTTCCAGCCAGGGACCTGTAAACCGGACTCTGTTCCAAAACCTTCCTCCTCTTCCAGTTGTCTGTGCAATGTATTGGCACTGTTCTGCTGGGCTGTCAAGAAAACTGGTTTAGAGATGCGGCTCTTCAGTCAGGTTTTGCTCCAAGTTCTAACCATGTAAATTTACTTTTGCTTTGCAACAACTAGAGATAAAGAAGATGATTGATTATACTTACTGAGAAAAGATTTTTTTTTACCATCAATAGCCCATATTACTGATTAGAATTTGGACTAATGAGTTGGGAGGTCTCTGTCCAGTTACAAACACGAAGCTGCTCACACCACAAAAACACCATAAAAACTGGCATTAATTGGCGCTCTCAGCACAGAGGTCAACAAGCTTCAAAGACTAACTTTTCTCCTAGAGGTGACGCTTCCAAAAGAGGGGTAAGGTACACTGATAGGCTTATATATGGGGGAAGCTTGCCCTGTACTATACCTTTTATGCGGATAAACGGAAGACTTCTATCTCAAAGGCTTCCAGGTGCCATCCTTCAGCAGCATTCATCTCACTCTAAACAGAGAAGAGTGCTGGGGATGGTGCAGTGATTTCATATGTAACCAGAGTGTTATGATGCAGGTAAGGTAGATTCACAAGAGACACGGGGACTGCTGCTCCCTGGGCTAGCTGAGGCTTTAGGTAATGTGGAGATGATCTATCCTGCTTCCAAAAGTAGGAAGAAGCAGGTGATGCTGCAGGAGAGCTTCCTAACATCAGGAGGAACTGCACTATAAGCACAGATTTCCCAAACAAGAGGCTGGTTGAGGGAACCAAAGTCCTACAACAGCAGAACAGTATTACAATATGCAAAAAAGAAGGTTATGGAGGACAACAAAGTCCAAAGTTTGAAGACAAGGGGCTCATCACAAAAAGGTTTTGAGTCTAAGAAACTCCATATTATGTTGCATGTACATACAATGATCTATTAAATGGCTAGAACTGATCCAGTGACACTGGTTCAGAAGTACTGTTCCCTGGGCCGCTGGAGACTGAGTGCTGCGGTGGAGATTTGTAGTCATTTACTGATCTTTCTTTGTTCTGTCACTTTATCAAATATTTCTTTAAAGAAAAAAAGTGAGACAAAGAGAAAGACTGATAATGAATCTAAGTTCTAAAAAGAGATGAACTTGAACGCAACTACTAAAAATAAATCAAGCAATTTGGAAGTAGATGAGAATCCCTCCGTCGTTTTCTTTTCTGAAAAGCTACTTTAGAAGAAAGGGTCTAAAAATGCAATAAGGACTTGCTATTTGGAACTGACTTCCAGAGGTCAGTAAAACACTTTTCAGAGAACTGGTAAGGTACTGTACACGCACACAGACACACACGAACAAGAAAGAAAGGACAGAAGGTAGAGCAAACACACGTTCCCTTACCGGAGAGCGCGTTTGAGGCTGTGTGTTCATTGTTTGAGGGGCTTGGGGGTACACCAACGTGGTTGGAGCTGCATTCTGTCCTGAGGGGTACGGAGCCTGCCAGAGAACAAAAACATGTTAATATGTCAAATAATTAATCTAGAGAAGTAAATTAAAGTCACCAATACACATTACTGGATGGACTGGTGATTACAGTTGAGATAAGAACCACAGATAGACAGCCCTCGTGATTACTGCTGAGAAAGAGAGGGATTCCTCGACTATTCAGATTAGACTCCTACTAGTTTATCTATATGGCACATACAATACCACATTAGTTATCTTAAAAACCTCAGCCGAGGAGACGATAACAAAGAGCACATATTAACTTAAAAATACTGTATTGTTTGCATCTACTGGCATATGTACTGATTTTAATTCTATTCTGAACAAAACTGCCAGGAAAACCTGGAATAGTAATGTATGATTGACAATTGCTCCAGAATAATGACAGATGACAAGAAACAAACTAGCATACAGCTAACACAAATAATCTTTTTAAAGTTTTCAGGAGACAGGCAGGCACATGGGGCTGGCTGGCCTCAGCTGATGTGACCTGTCATCCATTTCACTGGAGCTATGAGAGAGGTAGTTAGCAGTGTTAGTCTGAAGTTGAGCAGAAGTCAAAGGATGAACATGAGTTCATTTCAAACAGAATGAATCAGGTCTCAGTAACGCCTGAAGCACAGAAATACTACCTTTCAGAAATAGTGTTCATCTTTAAATAGTACTGCATTGTTCTGATTATAAGTACTTTTCTTTACCTCAAAGAGAACCATAAAATCTCCTAAAGGCCACGGCAGTTTGGATCCAGGGTTTTAGCTTTACATGCCAATTAAGTCTGAATCCAGAAATGCGATTCAAATTTGGCCCTTTAATAAGGGTCTGCCATTGTTTAAGTCCATAAACGATTTCCATTTGACTAAAGTATTCACCTTGCTATACAGTCCCATGGAGTTTTAGGGTAAACACAAAAAGACAATATGATGAGCCTGGGCAAAGTTATCTTTGGTATAGATGATGCTCTCTAAGTTTTATTTTAGTATTTTCGGTGCATTTAACCCTTTAGGTCCTTTCTCTGGTTATCCAATTCCCCCATGAGATTCTACAAGGGAAATAGTTCAAGGCCTTTTCTACAGACAACAGCTTATATTCAGGGGAAAAAGCTGCTTTCCCCCCGCCTAAAACATAACCTCAAAATGTAGGGTCAACTTATATGTAGGGTTAGTTTATAATTGGAACAGCACGGTCTATCTAAAGATAAATAACATTTTTGAAGTGCCTTGCTTTGCTTGCATGTGAAGTTACCATCTATTCATGCTGCAAGCTTCAGTTACTCTACAGGAGCCAACCTGGTCTCTGCATTTCATATTCTTTACACTGACATTCAGAATTAGATTTACAAAATAATGAAGGCAACTTTGTTTCAATCCATTATATGACAAATAAAGGAGGGTTCAAGTATACTAACCCTCAGGCACATCTCAGAGCATCTTTGAGTTATACAATGCTGCATTTGATTTGACTAATCAATTTTTAATTATCAGACTAAGTTCTATGACTAAAATTAAACAAATGTTAATTTCTTAAACATGTCAAATATATTAACTATATTATAATAAGAAACCCCATCAACAATGTGCTATAAAATAGGCCTGACAGTTCCACTACTCCAAAGGCAGCACCGTGCCCTGGTACACAACGATCTAACAGTCTCAAGATCTGCTTAGGCAAACTGAGCAGGAAGTGTTGTGGAAACAGCACCAAGTACCAGAAGAATCAGTACTAAATGCCTTTCAGCCAACTGAGTCTGAAATAACACTGTGCTAACGAGCACCATCAGGCCAACCAGCACTGGCTAGCTTTCAGTTGCGAGGCAGACGGTCTTTAAAAGATGGGGATACATCCTAACATAGGTTTTAAACAGGAGAATGAATTAAAGGGATTAAAGAAGAGTCATGGATACAGCCTGAATAAACTGAACTGGGATTAAGAACAGCACACATTCTTTTAGTAAAACTCTCTAAGGTAGATATAGCCTTTGAGCCACTTCACTGGCTCCCATGCACTGTACATTAAATTCAAACTTCCTGACCTTGACTCATGTAGCACTTACGTACACCTCAGGCTTGGTCTTTCTTTTGCAATCACCTCCCTGCTTGCTCCGCTCCAGCTATGACATTACCCTTGATCTAGGAATCTTTTCCAGACTTCCACCGGGGTTTGGGAAGTCCTCCCTGCCTCACCCCTATCCTTACCTCACAAATAAGAAAGAAATAAAAACCCTCCCCGAGAATTAAACTCTCTCACAGGAGAGCCTCGAAAATTCAGAGTGAGCCAAGCCCACCCCGTAAAACAAAAGAAATAAAAGAAACAGAACTAAAGATTACAGTGTGTTTATGTCATAGCAGAACTATGGGCTTTGCTGTCACCCCTCTATTTTCTCACCCATTCCCATATTTAATTAACTTGTAGCATGCCAAATTTGAACTATGCTTTTTGGGACAGGCTGTGCTTTGCAAGAGATACCTAATAATACTAACACTATTACTACAGAACAATTCCCTCTCTCTTGTATCTTTCATAAAGAGGTATTAGATTATCACAGCGAAGACCTTCATTAGAAGGGGCACACTGTTAGGCACAAAAAGGCTAGTTTCTCTGTTTTTCTTTACAGGAAAAAGGAGCAAGATAAAATGTTAAGCTGCTTTTACACCTCACAAAGACTGGCCTGGACCAGGGGCTTCAAACACTTCTTGTGTAATTTTTCAGCCTGGGGTGAAGTCCCTACATCCTCTTCTAATCATAAGCTAACATGAAACATACAGAAATGTATTTAATGAGTCTGAATATTCAGCGTCTGAAGCAAGTAAGTATTCCTTTTTGGCTCAGGGGGCAGTGGGTTTGACTTCAAAATAAGGCAACACCCATCCCAGACATAAGACAAGAAACCTTCTTCTGCAGCACTTCCCAATTCTGCTGTCTCAGATCAAGTTCAGATACTAACTCTGATCCACTAGTGAATGAATATCTTCAGTGACACTCAGAAACACATATTAACTTGCAAGTGCTCCAGTCTTATTAAACAATGAAGAAAACAGGATTTTCTACCACATTTCTGTATTGCTCAGAAGTCAAAGAAATGGCTAAAATTGCACCTTTAGTAAAAGTAAGTACGTGATTCAGAAGTGATTGTACAGTTCCCAATTTGTTCCTGAGTCTTTGCTTTGCTTTTGAAACTGCATGAAATGCATTTAGCGGTACAAGAGCCTCAAGCATAGGGCAGACCCCGTATTCAGGGGCACAAGCCATCTTACGTGACTGAATGAAATGCTGGTAAAAATTATACCAGTTTTCATGAAAGGTGTATTCTAACATAAACCCCCCCTCTCTCCTGAATCCAAATCATCTCTCAACAAATACACATACCAGGGTTTAATGCCCACCTGTAACCAACCTCTATGCCAGTGGTTTTCAATGCTTTTAGACTCCAGGCACCCCTCGATAGGCTTAAGGCACCCTTCAGAAAATGCCAGCACTTCGTTTTCACTTGTTTTCTGACTACAGAAAAATAATACAGTGATTCTTCAGTTGCAGAAACTCAGAAAACCTACAACATATCAGAAGATTTTTGATACTAGGGGTTCCCATTTGAAATCTTTGGGTTGATCATGTAAATCATGTATGCACACCTAACAGTGCTAAGACTGTGTGGTCCCCCAAGGCACCTCAAGAGAATCTCAAGCCACCCCAGGGTGCCATGGGACCCTGACTGTGAATCTCTGCTCTATGCCAACCCACAAAATATATAATTAAGTCACTTTAAGCAGCATTTAAGAAGTTATATAGGCATTCTGATTTGAAATGCAGGACCCCTTCTGATGTACACACCTTTCCCTGGGGCCACAGCTGCTTATGTTGATGTGCTGTAGGAAAGTGGAGAATGGCTTTGGCAGATCATGTTGGTTAAACATTCGTGCTAGTGTCCCTGCACTCCCCCTGCCCCAAGCCACTAGATTCCTCTTTGGCATCTCTCATAGCTTTCTTCTTTGTCCCTCAAGTCCTTTTTCTGGCAATCGTGCTATCTCCCCAAAGCAATGCTTGCATCCTGGCTTATGACTGCAATTCTGACAAGTCTCCACTACTGCCCAGGCCTCCCACTGGGATAGGTTAGACCTTCTGATATTGATTCATCTCTTTAGAGACAGCAAGGTAGATACACATTACTCCTTTAAAATCTTTTGGTTGCTTACAGCAGAGCAGCCAATTAAAGTAATTTTAAAAATATGTATTTAAAAAGCAGGTTACCTTCACTGATGCCAGTGCGGAGCTGAATCAATATCAAAGATCAGTTGAGACATCATATTGTGGAGTCTTAGGGAGGGGGCACAGGCACCACTCCAGGATTTTGCATGGCCTGTCCAAAAAAAGGACAGGAGGGGAAAAATGATGGTGGAGCAGGCAAGCAGCATAAGCAAGGACCCAGATGAGGAGACAGAAATCTAGGCTGATGGCACATTTTGATTAACTCCCACCAAATTAACTGGCATAGGGATTGGAAGTGAAAACTACGGTAGGTTAAAACAAGGCCCCAAACCTTGAAACAGCTGCATAAAAAGCCCAGCAGCTAAACTACTAGTTTTGCACAATGAAAATAAAACAGAGGTGACAAAACTCTACCAATCCCACAAAGTTCCCCATTTGTTCTGCTCTTCTCTGTAAGAAACATTTTTCGCTTCTTCTCCCTCCCAATCCAAATGTCAAAGGTAAGATTTCTACCTGCTCTAGGGATTTCTAATGTGTACCTCAGCACCAATATGCGGTGGAAAAACACAGACAGCATAGCAATTTAGGAAAACACAATGGCTCCTCTACAAAGAGGTGAGTTAAAGCCATACCACAAGCCCCTGTGAGCTCTGCTACCCCACCATTACTATGCTCAAGTTACTTACAGAGGCTCCAAGTGGTCCCCAAATTGTCCAGAGCTGATTTTTAATTTACCCAGGTGCTTGCTCTTCTAGCGCACGGGTTCTCAAACAGTGGACCGCATAGGTGTTGAGGGGGTGGGGGCTTGACAAATACTCTGGTGGCTCCAGTCAGTGCGACAGACACTGGAGTGCTCTTGCTCTGTACATGCTACCTCCGGAGAAGGAAACAGCAGAGCAGTTGTGCCACTTCCACTGCAGAGAACGAACATCCAGATCTAAGTGGAGTTATCTCCACGGCATGTCTGACAAGAAGACTGTACAGGAAGGAGGAAGGCTGTGAGGCTGTGCATGAGGTTGGGAAGACTGGCTAGGGGACAGGAGCTGAGCAGGGAGTTGCGGGATAGGAAGGGTGTGCAGGGGGATATGGGCTGTGGGGCAGCAGGTAGAGGTAGACCATGAGGAACGGTGGGATTGAAAAGGTTGAGAATGGCTGTTTTAGGAAACTACATGGCCAATACCCTCCAGGTGACTTATGTCTGGCCAATCTTTATTTATTTATTTATTGAAAAGGGCTTGGTTTAGTCATCAGCCCAACAGAGGCAGTTTGGGTCTAATGTTGCCCTTTGAAGCCCATTAGGGGATGGCAGGCATGCAGAAGAAGTGCCTGTGACAGTAATTACTGATGGCATTCATTCAGAAGCCAGCTGGTTAGACACCCATGTCACTCGCAGCAGAGGGCAGGGCTCCTGACGATACTGAATTGGGTGTTTGGTACTCCCACAGTGTCTGACAGCAGAGAAAAGTCCACAACAGTCATTACTCATCCCCTTGCTTTCATTCAAGGGATTTTCTGACTCCCATTTGCTCCCCAACCAATGTGTTAGAAAAAGATAATTTGTGGGGCAGCTTCAAGCAGCCTTATCTACACCCCAATTGCCTAATTTTGCATCTAGTTTCTGTTTGATCATTCAAACAACACTGTGGTAGGATCTCACTCTGTCCGAGACTAGAGCCTAACGGGTTTGGATACCAGTTTGTAGTGGACTGACTGTTAATTGAGTGCATTTCCGGCTAAGAATTAAGCTCTGAGGCCCAGTCTGGAAGAAGGGTTCTTTAATCGGAGTATAACAATAACCTAAAATTTGGATATATATATTTCTATATAGATATATTTTATATCTATATATATCTATATATCTGTTATACATAACAAAGACATTTGTGCCTTTGAAGCAAAACTACAGCTAAACAGTAAGGGGGAAGTGGGGAGATTAAAAGGATCGCACAACACAAAGCATATATTGCCAGGAATAAACTCTGAAACAATTTAAAGACCTTACAATGGGCATTTCTAAGTCTAGTACTCAGGGTAACCACCTTGCTGAAAAGTGATGCCAATGTTAATACTAGTGGTGTACGGGCCAGTGCTGGCAAATATATTCTAATAATAAATTTGTTTTGATACTTAATGTTACAAGAACCACGCTTTATTTAAATAATTAAGTGTATGTATTAATCCTAAAAAGGCTTCTTGTAACTAGTACGCTCTTACAAAGCATGGTGGAAAATGTAACTTGTTGGTATCTCATGCATTCAGTGGATACCTGAAGTGTGAGGCTCAGAAACAGATGTTGACCTAAGATGATAGGTTTATTATGACCGCTTAGCAAGGACAATAACTATTACCTGAACAAATGTATTCAGCTATTCCATGGTGACAACGGCTTCTTACTCTGCAAACTTTCTGGATGGCACAAATTAGGTTTCCTTTAAACATTTATCTGTAATTAATTTTTCTCTTTTTAGACTTTTTTTTTTTTTTATGATTTTGGGCACAAGGTTTATATATAGCATCAACTGTATGTTACTGAAAACTTTAAAATGCCAAACGGAATAAATCATCATGATCCACAGCTTTTCAGACAAATAAGCTGATTAAAATTATTACGTATATTGAAGCCTTCAGAGAGTTCTTCTCTGCCAGGCACCTAAATAGGTGCATGGAGTAATTATAATCATATTCAGTCACACTGGGAGACAGGCAGCTTTTATGCACTGTGGCTGAAACTCTGAGAAAGAGGTGGACGAATAAAGAGAGCAGTGATGAAACAAATTCAAAATTCCTTAGAATACATTATTGCAGAGGAGGAGGAGAGGAAGCAAATATTGCTGCATATAAGGATGTTGGTTCATAAGCATGAAAATGATGGCCTTGAAACCCCTGTAGCTCTGCAATTACAGCACCTTGAGCTGCGGTGGAACGGAGGGCTGCTGAGCAGGTCCATTTTCTAATCAGAGCAATTTGCCTTCCTCCAAGTATTCTACTCTGTCATTTCACTTCTGAAATGCGACTCTCTATGGAATAAGGAAATAATATTTGAGTGTTTATGTATCCAAATGACTTGCTAGTGAAAACCCTCGGTGACTATTTTCTGTGTGGATTTTCCATCTCGATGCGACTCACTTTGCCAAACAGCGAAGAAAGTTATTTTTAGATTGTTACTGCACTCGTTAATAAACACGACGCCTGCTGTGTAATGTGACTCCCCCAGTACTGACTGTACTGGGAATAAACAGGCAAAGCACACGCATCAGACAGGGTCAGGAGAAAAAGCTGAGTCACACTGCTCCTTTGCTTCCTGCTCACAGCAGCGCGGGGAAAACAGCTCTCGGGGTACAACTGACATTAAATCCCCTAGCAGAGAGGTGCTGCTCTGGGAACGTATGGCCATCACTAGCCAGCGCAGTGCGCTTCAGAAGGAAGTCACTTTGATCATACTGTTTCTTGATTCCTACGTCGACTATGGAAAGTAACAGGTTCATGCGGTTCTATATTTGCAGGAGTGACACAAGGACGTGCAGTTTTAGCACATGACCGGGAATAAGGAGCCCTATGTTCTCCTCCTACCATTCACAGCATCTGACGAAGCCAGCCGCTGCTTACGAAAGCTTATGCTATGCTGATTTAGTTTGTCTAAGGGGCAAATCGACCCTGCCTTTTGCCTGACTTCAGGTCACAATGTTTTTGACACTCTGGATTCTTATTTGAAATCTCTGGACGCGTCCAGATGAGCACAGACATGGTGCTGCAGACCTGTCTGCAGTGCTACACAGCACACGTGCAGGTGTTCCCTGTGCTGCTACTTTGCAGCGCAGGGGGTGTTTTTTAGACCCCGAGAGGAAACCCACGCCAAAAAAAACGAGGCAGTGCACGGCAGCAGCACATGCTGCCCAAAACTGGAGCCTGGCTGGCTGGGTCCATGCTCCAGCTGTCAGCCAGGCTTCCTGCTGCAGGAGTGCCACAGCTGCAGGTCCCTGAGGTCCTCAGGTCCCCAGGTAAGGCTCCTGGGACCAGCACAGTTGCTGGCCCCAGCCTCCCCTCCTCCATCCAGGGTAACCTGCTGTGGACCAGAGCTCGCATGGCATGGGTATTCCCTGGGGACAAGTAGCTGTGGTACAAGGTGTGTCGCTGTTACCTGTCCCTGGGAAAACACACGTTCCTGTTTGTCTTGATCCGTTTTCTGGGTTTATTTTGTGAATCATCTGTAGGTATTTGTACACCTAACCGTGAGCCCTTAACATCAGTGCCACAGTCCTTGAAGGACCAAGATTTATTTAGAGTGGTCTGTCAAT